CACACACACACACACACACATACACACACACACATATACACACAACACATGCACACACATATACATACAAACACAGACAGACATTCTCGGAATGATGTAAACAGAAAGCGTTTTATATTTCTGGAAAGGCAAGAAAGCTGGTACATTTGACTTCGATGGCGCTAATTCAAATTTCAATGAAAAATTTAATCGCTAAAAATTTTGTTTCGATTTAATTGTTTTCCTGAAAACATTTTTGAAAAGTATGAGGAAAATTTGGAAAATATTAAAGTTATTTTTATTGATATTAGCAAAATTGCGCAAATTAACATGAAATTCGAATTAAAAGTGAATGGGCGACAATGAAGAAGAAAATTTGAAATTTAATAAAATGTTACACGAATGATGATGAGAAACCGGAACTATTGATCTTTTTATCTTCAAAGTAAAGTTAGTGAGAAAACCTGAATGGAATGGTTTGAAATGAAGTTGAGTGGTAATGACCCAGATTTTGAAGAGGAATGGATGAGAGGAAATAACAGGAAAGGTAAGAATGGGAAGATTGATTGAGAATTATTATCGATCGTGTACAGATCGATCTCGTCAATGCAGGATGACAATTACGGGCGTACAATGAATTCACTTCTCGCTCTTCCTTCTTTCCATCATTTAATATTCAAATGAATGGATGGATTCGTACAACTGTTCACGTGTGAGTGCTTGTGTGGCAGTGAATAAGTAGCGTATTGGTTAGGGGTGAGTGCGTGTGTGCGAGTGAATAAGTAATAGCGCATTTGATCACGTAAGAGTAGTGTATGAGAATGAATAAATGGCACATTTGATCACACGTGCGTGTGTGGAAACAAATGACGCATTTGATTAATGAATTCGTTTTTTGAATTCGAACAACGAAAAGAAGCAGTCAATGGACAAAATATATTTGTTCTTTTATCATATCATTCCGTAACCATCCATTAAATATCTTCCGGAAAAACATTTATAATAGGTACGATCGAGCAATTTCGTTTAATTGACTCGTTTATTGTAATTTTCAGATAAGCAAAATGCATTAAAAAGATGTTGCAGCGAAATTTTGGAGTATAGATAAAGCTAATTACTGAACATTCAGAAGTACATACCATGATTGGTGAGGTTTTCCGCTTTCAAAAAAAAATTTCAATTTTCTATTCCGATTATCTGTTTCCAACTACAAATTTCTTCTTCCCATTTTTTTCTAAATTTTTTTTTTCTTCTTTTTCATAAATACAATTGCTCAATTGTTTGGCATCTAACAATTTGTTACTATACATGAACAGCAAAATTGATAAATTACAGGTAAGTGATCTTCGATGCATCTCCTCAGATAAATCTGAACAAGATTTTCTTTTTTCCATTTTTTCTAGCTGTTCGTATCGAGAAAGTGTACATTGTTGTTGTGGTCATTCTCGCATCCAACTAATCGAGAATTTTGGATTTTTTACAATTGACAAACTTCAGAAGATGAAATCTTTCTGGAGAAGTTTAATATATCGTTATCGTTTTTCTGTTGATATATGGAGATGGAGAGAACTGATTTTTCTATAATATTAAGCGATTTCCAGTTTTTTGATCCTAAGAAATGCATAATCGTGATCAAAAAATTGTGATGATCGCTTAATACAGACACTTTTTGTGGTTGTATATTTCAGAAATTATTTTAGAAAAAAAATATATATATGACTGAAATATGACATAAATTCACAAATTTCCTAATATGAAATATGAGAACATTTTTTAAAAAATAAAAAAGGCAAAAAGTAAGAGATCGAAGGTTAAAAGCAGTAAATTAACCTATCTGAAAACATTTTTCTTTTTTCTTCGCAAGCATTTTCACTTCTCCGTCAGATATACATTTTGGATTAAATAAATAGTAATGAACGATTTCCTGATAAATTGCACGCCGTGAAATGAAAATTTCCGGAAATAATTAAGGTCTGATTGAAAGTGAGAATTGAAAATTTTCAATTCATTGTGCAAATTCCGATAATATTAATATTTCCTTTGAATTTAGGGTTAAGAAATAATTTATAGTAAGAGAGAAACAAAAATTTAACGAACAAAATAATGAAAATATGTGGCAAATCTCTTCATTTTTTATTTATTCTCGAGAGGTAATGATGTGATAAATGGTTTTGTTTTCTTATTTAATTTCAATTTACAATGTTCACTTTCAATCATTTCATTTTCACTTTTTGATAAGAATTGATCCTTTTCAAGTTGAAAACCACATTTTTTTAAAATCGTTATTTCTCTTAGCTTTTTTTTACAAATTTTTGATCTTAATTTTTAATTTTAATGCTAAAATAGTTTCCGGAATTGAAGTGATTAACGGTGCTGCATAAACAATACATTTACCGCCTCAAACAGTATTTGGTAGAGAGAGGATGAATTTAGTTCTGCATAAAAATTTTAAAATTTAATATAAAAAGGACTACGAATGCATTTAATCGGTATAAGCATTAATAAAGTGCTTTTTTTTTATTAAAAAAAATTTTTATTGTTTTCATTGGTTAACCAAAATTAAGCATCGTCGTTTACATTCATTTAGGTTTTAACCATCTTTTCCTCTTTTCCTCAAATGTACAATCGAAAAAAATAAATTACATACAATTATCATGAAATGTTAAGGGAATATTTAAGTATCAATGTGTAGAAAATAAAAAAAAATTTAATTTAATATATATTTTCAAATACCAAGAATAGATGAATCCGCAACGACACCATCAGCAATAATAGAATGATCCGTATTATTTGTTCCCTAAAAACTAATCTATCAATATTGATCAGGATCAAATTATATGTCAATGATATTATCAATCAATTAATTCTTAACTATTATTTTAAATTTCCAATCTCTTCTGAACAAAATAAAGCATTTTGTAAATAATCTGCATGAAATTATTTCGGAATAATAAAAAAACAAAAAATATGATGTTTAGACAGTTTACATCCACAATAAGTATAAAACTATAGCCATATTATAGTGATGTCAATCGTGATAATTATAGTGATAATAATAATAATGATTATGTTAGAAAATGCTTACTTGATTCGAAATTTTCTTCCAATGTTCCTTGGCGTTTAAATATTTTTTACATCGTAATACCAAATAAATAGCAAAACCTTGAGCTATTGTAAAACCAATCTGCGATAAAATTGAATCAATTAAATTTCAAACATATTCAAACCAATTAATTTAATTTTTTT